AAAAATTCATTTTTTTGAAAATTTTTGCCCGTTTGACCTTGAAATAAAGGTCAAAGGTCAAATCCAAGGGCATATTTGAAATCTACACATATGACTTTTGGAAAGCCGTCTGTAGAAATTTTTCCCATAATTCCTTCCGTAGGGTAGATAATTAGCATTTAATTTTGCCATTTTTGGACAAGGGTGCATTGCAATGAGTGCCACACCTAGACCCCAATACCGACAAAGCCCAAATTTTACGTGGAACGAGTTGAGATTATAGGTGACCTAAATCCAAGAGATGGGTATGGGGGCCCTTACCGTCTAGGAGGAGAAGCGGTAACGGTAACATGGCGGCGGAGCTGGCGGAGCCGGCGGGGCCGGCGGAGCCGGCGGAGCCGCAGGAGCCGGCGGAGCCGGCGGAACGGACCGGACGGGACTAAAACCATGTGTACCGCCAGCGCTAACGCTGGTGGTACAATAATCCAATATTTATACATGAAGTCTAGTAAGATAGTAAATGGAAAATCTTTCGGTACTTTTGTAGTATACCCCCCCACCCTGTAACTTTCTGTAACGTTCACTTTTCAAACAGTTTTTTTACATTTTCTTGTTCTCTATGTCAAAGCTGTTGAAATAAAATGCTTTTGTAATTACCTGTGGACTTTTTATTTGTTTTAATCACGTTTAATCCAGCCCATTGAAATACAATGTTAGAATCTTCAATTTACACCCGCAGTCAATAACTTGCCGCGTTTTCATTGGCTAAGTCAAAGGTAATTTTATGTGAACAAGTAGCTCATAATAATTTCACAGAGGAAGTCCAAGTATATACAATGTATCAATCCTATGTTCACATAAAATAAGGTAGAGTTAGCCAACGAAAACGCGGCAAGTTATTGACTGCGGGTGTAAATTGAAGATTCTAACATTGTATTTCAATGGGGTGGATTAAACGTGATTAAAACTAATAAAAAGACCACAGGTAATTACAAAAACATTTTATTTCAACAGTTTTGACATAGGTGAAAAAGACAATGTAAAAAAATGTTTGAAAAATGAAAGTTTCATGAAGTTACAGGGTGGGGGGGGTATACTACAAAAGTACCAATCTTTCTACATACAAATACACGAAGTCTACTTTTTTTTTTTTTTTAAATAGAAAATGAAAAATCTCTCTATGAAAAATATACAAAATGCTAAACACAATTAATTGTGAAAGACAAACATTTCTACAAACAACGCTCACTAATATGTATATGCATAAAATAATGTAAATAATGTATTATTACAGTTTCACTAAATGCATATGGGTTACACAGGCTACATTAAGTTGTACATTTGCATAAAGAGAAAGGATAGATTTTGATTAAATCTATGTGTAAAACGTTGTGCTTTTAAAAACAAAAATAACCTCACAAATTGAGAATCATTTAAAAAAAAGCATCTTGATTACCTTCTACCAGGGCCACAGACTAATTTTTCATAAGGAAGACAGTGCTAGCCTCGGCCGTGGCAAACCGGCCAGTGCCAATCCGCAAAATAAATTTCCGTCGAATTCTAATAATAAGTATGAACTGTGCAAATATAAGATCAGATACATCATTTCCATACATTGCTTCCCATTTTTATTACTTTTCAAAGTTTATATAAGCCCGTTATACCTGCTAAACGGTTACTTTTTCGCTCAGTGTTTTGCTCGCATCTGACAGCACGTGCAGCTCTACGTCGTATCGCTAGCCAGTTTTGTTCATTTTTAAAAATTATACTTGCATGAAAAAAGTGACGCTAGTCTTTTGAGAATTATAGCAATTGACATAATTAAAATACTTATTCTTATACTAGTTTTAGAAATGTCCACAATATCGTTATGGTATTATTCTTTATGTTTACTCTGTTTTCGGAAGTACGACGTGGGTCTGTCTTACTTCTCGCCGATTCTCGCGTGACAATTCCTAATTGATAAAAACAGACCGACGCCATATCTTAGTCTTTGAGGAGATAAACGTTTTTGATATAAATACACGTGTGATCACCAAAATTTTGCATGCAGCTTTGGCGCCAGTGAGTGAGCAAAGTTACAGAGTCTTCTGAGGTGGAGGTTCAGAAGATGAGCGAGGAAGCTGTCGAACACAAGGGTAAGTTTTCACTCTGGCGTTTTCTTTTTGTTCTCGTCGCACGAGGTCACGAATTCGAAGCTGTAACCTGCAGATATATTTAATTAGTTTACTTATTTCACTGTGTGGTAATATTACTTACTCATTAAAGCGCATTTCTCGATTTCAAGTTCACGCTTTTTTGTCTTCGTGGGTGAAGTTTTGAACACTCTTCTTTGGTAGGAATTGCACTAACTTCTCAACAAATCGCAGTGTACCTGCTCAGATTAGAACTCTGATTTTCAGTATATTTATAAATTCAGTCATAAGGTGACTTTGATCAACGTCTCTTCCTTTTCGAAAAATTAGATTATCGATACACTTTTTTCCTGTTTTATAAGAAACTTCAAGCCTGTTCAATTATAACGAGAGATGATAATTTTATCGGAAAACTAAAATCCAGTTCAATGCTTAATGAACCAATTAATTGACATGTTTTACTGACTAGTGTCTCTGTTGAAATGTTTCCAAATGGTTTTATATTTGTCATTGCAGATTCAGAAGGTGATGCAGCAGTCTTAGACGACATTTTGGAGACAACTGTTGATGATGATTTTCCTGCTGAAGAACATGTAGAGAAAAAACCAGGTATCAAAAAACGTCGTAATTCTCTTGTACAGCATGTATACAGGAATTGAGATACATATTTGTAATAATGAAGTGTTTGAGACATTATCAAATTAAGAGCACATTTGAAAAGCAAATTTGTTTCTGAAATGAAAATTTACTTGTTTTTCATAGGGAGAAAAACTCGCAATAAGAAAGTTAGGCCTGTTAAGGCCCCAGCAAAAGGACGAGGAAAAGGCACTAAAAGGAATGCAAAGCCTACTGAACCGGAAGATACCCCTGAATTGGAGGATGAAACCATAGATGAAGAAGAACAGTTGAAGGAAATGGAGAAGAGACGTAAAGAGTTGGAGAGGATGAATGCTGAAAAAGAGCGGGAGGTCAAGAGACTTAAAAGAGAGGAGAAGGCTTTGAAAGAAGCAAATGACAAAGGTTAACATATTTCCTGACTTTTCTCTTTTTTAAATTCTTTTTACCTTGGCAGAGAATTTTGTATCTATCATGCTGTTAGGGGTGCATTTATAAATGTAAAAGGTATGTAAATTCAGTATTTGATAGAGGTATTTATTTTTCAATGGATAGTCAAATAGGGTAAGACTAGTCATTTAGGTAAAACCATGCATTGCATTAAAATGCAATCAAGGAGCTTAGTTGCAAGAAAAAGATTAATGAGTAGTCAGGGTAGGGGTGGGGGTTTACACACCCCATGGATTAAAATCGAAAATATATCATTTGGCAATAAAACCTCTCCCTTGAGTGAGCATTTTGTTTGGAAACTGACCTCCCTCCCTGCATCTGCAGGTACAACTGAGGTGGAAGCTCCTAAGTTAAAAAAGAAGACTTCTAAGAAAAGGGGTAAGAAGGGTATGTTAGATGTGAAACTCCATATAGTTGTAGCTATAGATATTAGCATAATGTATATACTTAAACACAAAAAATGTTTCTTCTTTTACATATTTATTACTTAAGTATGAAAAGGAGTGTTAGTGCATTTTGGTTCAGAATTTAAAATCCTTACAATATATAAGTTACTTTTCATATACAGACACTAAGTGTCTGTATATATATGATCGGTCTGTCTGTCCATGTCATCGCTGTCCGTCTCGTGATGTTCGACCCATAACTGTCATACCATATTTTTGTTTTACTTTAAATTTACTGTGTTGCTTTGTTTGGTAAAGAAGCAGTTTGCTAATGAAAATTGGCATGATCCGTTCACATTTAAGTTTTTTTTACAATTTTGGTGACAATCGCCCCATAACTTCCAAATCATATTTTTGTTTTACTTAAAATTAATGACTGTTTTTTTTTGTTTTTTTTTTTTCAAAGAAAGCAAGTTGCTTTCAAAAATTGGCATGATCGAATCACATTTACAATTTCTGTTTTTTTGCACAATTTTGGTGACATTTGCCCCATAACTTCCAAATTGAATTTTTGTTTTACTTTAAATTTACTGATTGGCTTTGTTAGGCCAAGAAGCAAGTTGCTTTCAATAATCTGCACATTCGGTTAACAATTATGGTAATGATTTGTTTTGTTTCAGTATTTTATGTTTCACACATTAGCATTTTCAGTGGCTTTTATAGCCCATGAAACCAAATTACTTGCTAGTTTTTTAATATCCATCTTACTTGTAGTACATTATGTAAGAGGATAAGAATGATTATGCTGTTTTAAAGCATTATGTGATGGTGGATCATAATTGGCCAAAACATTATTTGGTGCACTCTTTTCTGCATCTGAATGTCAGAACATTTGTCAGCTTTGCTGCCTTGTTTCCTCAATCGTGTCTGTATTTTTGTCAGCTTTGCTGTCTACTTAACCATTTGAGTCTGTTTTCCTAGTGGACAAAACAGGAAATGTCTGCAAAACCTTTATATGTCAGTTTGGCAACAATTTTTTGTGTGCTGGCATGCTATGAAAATGTTGAGAAGGCTATTACGTACATACATATATATGCTCCTATATTAGATTTTGTGTAATAAGAGAATGCTTCATAGGTGTTGTCTGTACATTTGTTATTGTTTTTCTTTTTCATTGTGGATTTGTTCAACTTTTTATTGTAGTTGTAATAAGGAACATATTAGATTTGCTTGTTATTATAATATAAAGGCACCAAAGAAATTATTAGATAGTAATGATATCTTAAACTTTGAACAATTTATTGTCAAAAACTTTTTAATTTAATTATTGATACAGATGAAAGTGATGGCAAAGTGAATGCTAGCAGTGCTGAGGAAGAAAAAGCAGATGACAATCCCGAGTATGACATCCGCAGTGAGGCAGGTAGCAGTGCCCATGGATCTGTAGCTTCTGGGTCTGGAGAAGGTGGGTTAAACTAGTTACAGGTTCCTAAACCGTGCATGTAAATTGTGACTTTGAGTTTTGTCACTTTTTTTCATTGCTGAAAAACAGTATGCACCAAAACATGATCAGTTTTAGTAGAATCTTCTTGCCCCTAAGTCCACCTGTTTTTTACATGGTGTTTTTACATGCTCTATTATTTAGAATCAGATGGCGAGGAAACGGGCCAACAGGGACAGAACAAAAGATCCAGTCGTAGCATATCTCCCATTGAGTGGGAAGCTAACCAACGTCCAAGTCGCAGTCGGAGCAAGAGTGGCTCAGGAAGTGGCAGTAGGAGTAGAAGCCGGTCAGGTAAGTGTTCTCAGAACAGCCTGCCCAGCACTGTCTTTTTACCAAAGGTCAAGGTTGCTTTTAAATAGGGTTAGTGGCATATTAAAATAGAACTATAAATATAACCAATTTTTTCTAATGTTAAGGTAGCTGATTTTGAATTGATTTTAAATACTGATAGTTCTGCTTATGAATTTGTTTAAATTTTTATTTCCGAACTGTTCTGTTTTAAAGCAAGCAGAGAGAGAAGATCATCAGCTGAAAGGAGAGGTATGTTACTTCTTATTAACTGTGAAATTGGCTTAAGATGGTGAATTATGTTTAAGTTTATTTCATTTTTTGTTATTTATTTAAGACTTCATGTGATCTATTCAGTTCACTAATTCTTGTTTCTTAAAGGGTTTTAAGTTATGACTTGAAGTAAATTTAGGGTAAAGGTTACTCCCACCCTGAGTGGTGAAAATGAGGGGTTTTACCCTAAGAAAATTTACAAGTAACTTGTTGCACATGGCATAACCCATAGGCCAGGCTGATGTCAGTAAAACTAAAAATACTTCTCATCAATGGCATTTTAATATTTGAAGGAAATCATTTTTTTCCAGAATATCAGCATAAGTTAAGACACATCTTTAGAGAGGCAACCTATTTCATTATTAAAAGCAACAATCATGAGAATGTTGCTCTTGCCAAAGCTAAGGGTGTATGGTCTACCCCTCCACAAAATGAGTTTAGGATCAATAAAGCCTACAGGGTAAGTGGATTATTGGATGTATTTAATTTTTGAATTTTGTGGAATCCAAATTTGTATATGTAAAAGTAAGATGTAAGCTAAGTGGTGTAATTAATGTACTGCATGATATAAGAGGTGTTTTTTCATCCCTTTTTTTAAAACTTCTTTATTTTATAGGAAAGCCGTAACGTAATTCTCATCTTCTCTGTAAGAGAAAGTGGAAAATTTCAAGGTAAGTTAATGATCACTTTACTCTTAACAAACCAAAGTACTTGAAACCCTTCCTCCTCAGGCCGTGTATCCTCTATGGCTATCATGTTTTGAGGGGTTCTATTTGTTTATCGGTGTTACAATGATTTTAAAGATGTAAATGTCTTCAAATTTTATAAGTCAATATTATTAAAAAAAAAAAATTCAGGAACGTGTTTTTCATTTTTTGATGCAGGGTATGCTCGTGTAGCAAGTGAATCAGATAAAGATCATCCACCAATCCGCTGGGTGCTACCTCCAGGGTTAAGTGCCAAGGCCCTTAGTGGAGTGTTCAAGTTGGACTGGGTGACCAGGTATACTCTTTTAGTTTACATCATTAATCTAGGATGGAAATTGGATATTGTAGACAGTATGATTCTTCAATTAATTGACATTTTATCATAATTATGTATTTATATGCAATGCATCTTATTGTTCATTAAGTTGTAACAGTCTGATATGTTTTGTCTTTTACAAGGAGAGACCTGCCATTTACTAAGACAGCCCACCTCCTCAACCCATGGAATGACAATAAGCCAGTCAAGATAGGGAGAGATGGACAGGTAACAGTCATGCTTTGCTGTTGAAGAGTGTGTTATATGGGGTGTTCTGAAACTATTTATACTAAGTTTACTGCAACACAGATTACTGCAACAAAGATATATTGATATTGTACACCATTTGTACATGTACTCCCTTTACATGTTCTGTGTGATGTATGACAGTGACTGCCCAGGAATCCTATTGTGCTTATGTCCACAAATGACTTAATTTATGTTTGCTATACTTACAGCCTGTGGAGCCAAGGTGTGGAGAAGCACTGTGTAGGATGTTTCCAGCTGATGAAGCTATAGATATTTCTGCTATCACAAGGAAGGCTAAGGCCAAAGGACCTGCAAAATTTAGTAGACCACCACCCAGAGAAAGTTTTCCAAGACGAGGAATTTCACCTAGGTTAGAGACATTCAAATTTGGACTTAATTTCTCATCTCAAATATGGACAGTTTGTTATGAATACTGTTATAGACTGGGAGCAATTTCTGTTTCACTCCATTTTGTTACTTGAGAAACCATCCTGTATAAATGGTTTTTCTTCTGAGATACATCATATTCAACGGAATATGTTGTCACTTCTGCCAAAAAATGATGGCAGCATAAGACTGACGTGTAGTCAGTGTTTGGTTCATGCACAAGGTGTGATAAGGCAGGTAAGTTATCTTCATGGACTGTGATTGTTGTGTGCAGGTGACATCATCATGTAAACAGTTCCTTTACAGGTAAATTTTGGAGTTGCAATTGGCTGGCTGAACTAAGAGGCCAGTTTCTGTCCTGTTCATTGGAAACCAGAGAACACAAGTCAGCCACAGATGGTAACAAGGTGGATTTCAGTCACATGCAGAAGCCAACCACTTGGAATTTCTGTGCTTCTTAACCAGGAGTTTCTGCACATGTTTACATGTGTGTGTATCATCATCAACAGCAGCAGCATATATCGGCAGACACTTGCCCCCAGTCCACACACAGACACTGAAGGACTCTTTCTTCAGTAGCTCTGAGGGCGGTTTATTGCTGCATGCACACACACACATAGTTCATTCAGATGTAGTGGACTTTTTGTTTCTTGCTTTTCTGTATTGGTGGTGGCCAAAACCTCAAGACAAGGGGGACATAGATAACATGTGCAGTAAGACTGTTAAAGGACACTTATGTTTTGTATCATATTGCTTATCCAGTGTGAAATGAGAAAATGGACTGCATTTTGTCCTAATGGACTACATTTCATACATAATAAATAAACTTTACTACTTGGAAGCATCATGATACCAAATAGAGCTTGTTAGATCTTGGCGGGGTAAGGACCTTCAGCTGTTTACTCCGCCAAGAAAACAAGATAGTCGTGGACTAAATGCTCAAATAAAAAGAAGCAAATGCAGAAATATTCAAATGTTAAGGACTATTTGTAATCACAAAGGACTAGTTGATCATGTCCCTTCAAAATGCAGGACTTTCCTGAATGCAGTATTGGACTTTAAACAATCAGGGGTATGTTAATATATCTCTTGTTTTGTCTAACAAAATATGCTTTGTAATGGAAAAAGCTGAACATCAGAGCTATAGCTTTTTTGGCAGTTGACAGTATTTCCATACTAATACCAATTTTGAAATTAACAACTTGCTACACTTTTGATGTTTAGGACAAAATTAGGACAAAATCCATTTTATTTTGGAATGATTGAAATGCTGTTTAAAACATCCTTGAAGTGATTTTTGAGAGAAAGAATACTGTACAAATCATTATTATCGTAAATAACATTTTGGACAATTTATTGGTATACCTTATTGTTTTGTTCCATTTTAAACCCTTGGTTTTTATCATTATATAACTTGTCCTTTATAATCAATTAAATTTTTATGACTTGTGGGGCATGTTGAACATACCCCAATTTTTTTATGAAAGTTATGTCCATGGATGTATGAAACAAAGCTGCAATGTGTGGACTGTCAAAGCCAAACAAGCTATTTCAATTGCTTAGCCATTTGGCAAATGTTCTAAAATCTGAAAGTGGTGTTTACTACTTCATAAAGTAGTGAATTTGAAAAGGTAAGGAATTGAACCACTCATGTTCTTATGTATAGAGTGGTATTTTCTTTTTGACAATTATATATTATTGAATTTTCAGGTTTTGATACAGCAAGGAAAAAACTGATGCCCATGTGTTGTGGTATTTTTTACAATACATGTATAGTAAAAACATTTTCAGTTGCATGTGATAATTATGCCTGAACTTTTATTTCTGGTAGGCGTCGCCCCAGCAGGCGAGAATCTTATGAATATGAACCAAGACCTAAAAGGGGTAGATTGGATATGGGAAGAGATCCAGGTAGAGACGGTATGTTGTTTTCTGGCCTCAAAAAGCCTGTATATGTATGTTGGAATAAAGGAAGTTCTTTATTTTAAAATAATCTTTTTAAGGTGCTTAAAAGTTTGTTGTTTTTTTGTGTGCGTGTGTGTGAATGATCTTTTCTATAATACATAACTTCCCAAACTTATGAAAGAAGGGAAGAGAGAAATAGCTTTTTTAAAGAATGGTATGTTGAATCGTTTTAGTTCAGTCTGATATGGATTTATTTCAGCATATAGACGAGACCGGCCTTCACCAAGGACTTATGCTGGAGTCCGTAAAGAGACTTTTATCAATGGGGTGAGTCATTAGTCATCAAAATATGAATGTATACAAGTAAAAATTAACTTGAGTAAAACAATTCAGATACAGATTTCCAATCAAAATGGTTTTCGTTGTGAAAAAAAGCAGTCAGCATTTGTACACTTTAACTAGCAAGCATGAAGACTTGATGTTGGTCATAGTATTTTGGAGTGAATTGATGTAAATAGAAAGGACGAAATGAGAAGAAATATCCTGCATCACAACAGTTTTCCTCTTAAAAGGATGGCAGACGAGGGGCTACAGTGTAGTGCTAAGTCTGTGTACAATGTACTACAATGTAGTTCTGAGTTTGTTGATCCTTGCCTACTCCTCAGCTGTCCTCTGATGTACCAAGCCCTCCTGCCTCCCTTGTAATGAACTAATTTTTAAATTTCTCTTTCAGTATTTATCATTACAAAACATTTTTCTTTTCTTTTCTTTTCTCATTCATCAATAGATATTTATTAGTTAATTGGTTATATTTTTAGGTTCTCTTAAAATGAGCATATAATGCTCAAAGCGATTTGCCATCTTCATATCTACATACTTTTATATAATTCACATGAACTAATAAATATGTTTAAAAAAAAAGATGGCAACAAGAATATATGCGAGACCTGTCATGGTTCATGGCATTCTGTATCGTTTCCAGTCATACCATGACTACATGCGTGAATTCCAGCACCGAGCCCCTCCCATGCCACCAATGACAGGACAGTGGATACCAGCTGTAAGTAATGTGCATACACAATGATGTTAAGGAAGTAGACTAGATTTTTTTGTGGGTCTATTTATCTGTGTCTCTCTGTGGATAGTCTTATCTGGCCAACTTCTACAGTTTGTTACAAATTACATCTCGATGAAACCAACATTAGGTTTGACAAGTATCAAGGTCTTTGGAATTTTGTCCTGTCATCTCCTTAGTTTTCTGTCAATTTTTATGAAAGGTTAGTTACATGGGTGAAAACCTGCCTGTCCCAGTCACAAACTTCTGAACGTGAGAACTGGAAAGACCTTATTTGAATAATGACTGAAGTAGAACTTAAATTGTGTTTGTATATTTTGCTGTGGACTGAACAAAATAAGCTTTGAAGTATGGTTAATTGTTTAATGTTGTTGGAAACTTCTCAGTGTAAAGAAATGTTCTGTCCTGTTGCAGCCCATGCCATATGGAGAACACATGCCTCCATACCACCATCCTTATGACAGGCGAGATACATACGCTCCACCCTCAGAATATGGCCTCCCTTCTAGCAGCAGGAGGAGCAATGAAAAGAGGGTAGGTAGACAATACCATTTTGGAAGTTTATACTTCCAAACTGGTATTTTATACTTAAATGGGAACAAAAGACCAGGAATGTTTCGTTTGAGAGAAATAAGTTAGATACAAGTTTTTTTTCACTTAGATTGCATTTAAACATTCTGGTATGGACCAAACTTTCTGTTGGTTGGCACCTCTTAGTATTTATTAATGTTATAATTTATGTTCTTTAATGGAGTATAATTTTTTGCTTTTATGATTTACATTTTAAATGTTACCTTTATTTCAGTATGATAGAGAAGTTGACGACTTCTTGCGACGTACGCATAGGGGAAGCAGTCGGGAGAGGCGTCATCGGGACAGCAGAAGATGAGAACAGCATGTAGCTTCATACTGAGACAATATATTTTCAGGAGAACAGACTGAAGGACCATTCAGCCGACTGTACTGAACTATAATGATCATTGATACATGTAGTTACTCCATTAGATACCAAGCTAGTAGGTACTTACTGCCAGTGATCATGTTGTAATGCAGTGAACTTGAACTTCAAGAAGACCAGTGCTTAACTAAATTGTGAGAAACAACAAAATGCCCGTTTGTTTTGTAAAAAGAAGATTCATTTTGTACACTCTGACATTGAAATGTGAATATTCTATTGTATATAATGTGAAGAAGACTTACTGGAGACCCAAAGTAAGTTGGACTTTCTGCTTGCTGTAAAAAATATAAAGTTAGCAATGTAAAATTTATATTTTATGTTCTGATTGTCACATTTCAACCATGCAATTTACCTACCAGGTTAGTAATTTGCATACAAGATTATTTCCATGGTAGAATTGATTGAAAAGAGACCATTATCAATTTAGTTATGGAAAGACTACATTGTCTGTGATCTTGAGCATCTAGAGATATTAAATTAATGCTTAAGTCTTTAACTGTAAATGTTTTATTACACCAGTGGCAAATTTATAAACATTTTAAAAGGTATCTGTGTATAATAGAAAATGTTTTTGTTCAATAAATAGTATACATTTATTAACTGTTATTGTTATTATCATTAATTTTATTTTATAATTTTTTTGATCCACTGCAACACCTTGAGATCCAAGTAATTCTACTCGGGATGAATTCAAAGAAACGGTACACGGATATTTCAAAATTGTTACAGTCGTGTTACCAAAGACAACAGCTCTTTACTGTCACTCTGCCCTGCTATTGGGTGGCATTATGGTATGGATCCCATTCCTTTATGGTCATAAGTCAACAAGGAGTGCCTCCCCTATATCTAAAAACAAAAAAGGGTTCATATAATTCCCCTATTCACAAAGAACATGTTACATAATTCAATGAAAAGGCTACTCTGAACACAGTACTGATTTATTCAGTAAGAAATGTTTAAAAGAGCCATTGGACCTTAACATGCAACTACCTTTCCTTCCAATTTCTGAAGGGAAGAACAAACTGAAATGCTTGTCTTGTCTTATTCTGTGATGTTCTTTTGTCTCCTGCATGCTTGGTCTGACTTGCTGCTCACTCAAAGCTAATGCTGGACCCTAAAGCAATGAGGAAATAATGAACTGAGGAGATACAAATTTAAACGGACAGCAATCCTACATCACAAATGTTCTCTCTGAAAAAAAATTACATTCTTAACTCTATACAGGAAAAAAAGATAATCTCTTATACTGGTATCTTTGCAAACAACTACATGTATATCCCACCTTGCCTCTCCTCTGTGCTATTTGAGACCTCAAAACTTGGATTTTGGAGCGCAGATGATCAAAACTTGTTAAGGAAAAGGAATGCTTATTAGCCACATAAAACCAAGTAAATGTTTTCTAAATTATGTAATCTTCAGCATTCCCAAATTATTATTTTAAATTGCAATTCATGATTATTTATATGTTAATCATTTAACCACTGCAATCCATGATAATAAAAATAATGGTGTATAAAAACAAAGGACATTTCTCTTTATCCACCTTGCTCTATTGATGGCATCCATCCATTCCCTGATTTGATTCTCATTTTGGCCACTGAACATATGCTTCTTGTCTCTGTCATCTTCAAACACTGAGAGATAAAAAAAAAGCCTTCAGCCATGTGTGTCAATATGCAGTTTGATGTTTACCTTCTTGCATGATCAGGCAAAATGAGGGTGGGAATGGGTAATCTAAGACATGGGCACCAAAATAAATGGATGTATGTAAGACTCGGGTATGACTGCAATAATGTAAAGAAGCAACTGAACATAACATTGTACTAACCAATTGAGAACACAAACAGACTGTTTCCATCCACTTCAATCTGTGTCCTGCATTTTTCAAGAACTAAAATACCACATGCCTACAAACAAAAAGTATTGCTATATAACATGATGTTAATACACATATTACAAACCACAAACTTGAATTTTAATAGAAATTAGAAAATATCCTTTAAAGCAGTATTTAATCATACATTTATACACATTACTCCGCTTATGCAAGGAGGGAACAAGAGGAGGTATGAGGTGAGCTCTCAGTTTTAAAATAACATTTTTGAAAGAACATTCTTTTAATGAAAGCTTGGAAATATAAACAGACATGAGATGTTGGATGAAGCATTTGGTGGGGATTAGGTGGGGGATCAAAATAAAAAAAGGCCCTAAAATGCTAGATACACTTGTTAAAGTATTTTTTTAACTCGCCATTGTAACTGATACTTTCCTCAGTTTCTGACATGACCCCATGGTCCGTTCTGTAGTAAAACAGCAAATTGTTCATCAACTTGAACCATCTTTCTTTGTAACCTGTATTAAGTAAATATTACAGAGGAATTGTAGATGTTCAGGTCACGGGCAATAATTTTTCATTTTTCAATAAACCGATACTTTACAACATGCATAAATTTTTCTGGTGTCATTCTGCACAAGAAGTGAAACAAAGCCCCTCAAGTGCATTTACCATAGGGAACGCAAAGAACACAATTTAGTATTGAGAGAAATATTAAGAGAAATATACAAAAATCCAAAATTGAGAATTAAAATTATAGATCTCATTTACTGAATTACCATTTTCCCTAGGTGGTTTGTGGGCCAATCGACCTTCGCGATCTGCTGATATCTTCCTCGAGACATAGCGCAGCTCCTTCTCATTGAATCTCATTTTCTACAAAGCAAGCTTAATATCTGTTTTGGGTTTTAAGTGCTAAACCGTAAAACCAAGGTGATAGAACATTCAGGCTTGAAGTAAAACATCTTCTTGTATTTATCAAGTACCCACTTCACAACAAGCACCACCATTCTTTGGAGCCTCGTTCTCAGGGCAAACGCTAATATTGTGAAATGATAGAGCGTTTCAAACCTACTATTTTGATGTCGCAATAGTCATTTGCGACATAGTCTACCGAAATGCTGGCTACAGGTAGATCTTTGCTAACGTTGGTAGATCTATGAGGGTACAGTTGGGATCCTGTGTGGATAGAATGAAATATCCATGGCAGTGCTATATCATATTTGCAGAGAGGCTAATAAGTGAAATTTTATTGGACGACCACTTAACAAATTCCCCCCCCCCCCATTTTGCCAACAAAACATTCCTACGAGGTCATTTCAGGAGAATCTACTGCAAACGCAACTGGCCTTACCACGTTTGTTGGTAAATAGCTTATGTATCGTTGGGACTTAAAAAGTGGGTTGTATGCGTCTTGGTGCTTGTGAACATCGGTGATCCCCCCCCCCCT